GTGTTAAATATTTGTTGTGGGGTGTTAAATATTTGTGGTTGGGTATTAAATATTTGTTGAGGGGTGTTAAATGTTTGTGGTTGGGTGTTACAAGGTTGTATGGTGTTTTGGAAATTTGAAGAAGTTGGTTGGTTACGAGGGTCCCATATGTATCTATTTTGTGATATATACAAAATGGTAACAGATTTATACCAATTCATGTATTCCCTATTGGGTTTACATTGAGTATCCGTGACATTTCCTTGTAGGACAGTTCGACGAGGATTTATCCGGTGTTGAGGTTCTTGTCTGTTATGGTCTCTCCAATTATCGAATTTCCATTGCTCGTTCCTTGTACTCTTGTGGTACCTCTCCATGCACGTAGGTGGACCAGGAATGTCTTGTTGAATTCCGAATTGAAGTTTCACCCTATCTGAATGATGCATTTCAACATAAGTGAAACAAAATATGAATGTTGTAGAACTCCACATGTCGCTTTCAGTTGGATCCTCATGTTCAAGTTCAAGATAGGGCCTCCATAGAAACTATAATATAGTTAAAAAGGGATTAGAGTAAAAAAAATGTTAATGATATATTTGATAAATCAACATAGGTAAGTAATTAAAGACATGAACCTACGTAAAAAAGTAATTAACATGGGTAACTATATTTGATAACATTCATTAAATTTTGTCAATAACATATATTATATTTTTGTCCATTGTTGATATTTTAATTTTTTTATTTATATAGGGTATGCTTTAAACCAACCAACATTTCATTACTATCGGTCTGAGATTGGCATGACAAATGCGGATGCTTGGAGGTGGGTTGACAATATTCTAGCCGAAAAATAGGCGAGGGCATTTTAGGGGGTTCGACGTTGGGGTCACATGACTACCAACCTTGTTGAGTCATTGAATTCTATCTTTAAAGGCACATGTAATTTGCGCATTACAGCATTAGTAAGTGCAACATATTATAGACTGTGATCATTATTTGCTGAAAGAGGTGCAAAGTGGAGTGTTGTGTTGAATTTTGGCCAAACATTTACAGACAACTGTATCAAGGTGATGAAAGAAGAAACAACAATATCCAGCACAAATCAAGTCAGAATTTTTTTACTACACTAACGATGTTTTCGGTGTTAAGGAGACAATGGACCATGGTGAGGGGAAGCCTATGGGACATTATAAGGTCAACCTCTTAAACGGGTGGTGTGACTGCGGAAAGTTTCAAGCATATCGTATCCCTTGCTCACATGTTATCGCTGCATGTTCTAATGTACGCCACGACGCTTACGCTCTTTTGTCCGACCTTTATAGGGTTACAAACCTATTTAGGGTTTACAACACAAGCTTTCCAGTGCTGCCTTACGATGAATATTGGCCCGTTTATGAAGGAGATCAAATTTTCCATAACCCAAGAATGCGGAGGAATAAGAAAGGTCGCCCAGTGAGCACACATATTAAAACAGAAATGGATAACTTTGATAAGCTTGAGAGAAAATGTTCCATGTGTCGTCAAACGGGCCACAATTGAACCCGGTGTCCCAACGTAGGAACAAGTAATCGTTAGTGTTTTCATTAATTATCATGTATTTTTTTCAGATTATTATCTAACTTCTAGCACAAACCACACAACTTTATGCTTCATTAAATGACACAACACATACATAAATCAACATAGATAAAAATACTAAAAAACAACATTTAACATAACATTTGATACAATTTCTCTAACGGATTACAATTAACAGTCTGATCTCATTTTGCCCAAACATCATTTCCCTAGCTTCCTTATCATTCTTGACTCTCACCCACCCACGTCAGACATCATACCTCTCAATACTTCTGATTTTTTTCCCTTCTGATATGTCTCCTTCTAACCAACGCTTCAATTCCCTATGTAGTTGCTCTAAACTACATATGTTCCAGAAAAACATATCCATAACCGATTTTTCTCTCAAAAAAATCACTTTTCTCCAACAACGAAGATACATCGTCAAAACAGATGTGAAAAATATGTCACACCACACCTTTATTTATATCAGTGTCGACATTGTACAAAAACATTAAAATATTAAAAGGTTCCTCCCATTCAGGTGCCGACATTGTACCAAAATAATAAAATACTAAAAAGTTTCGTCCATTCATGTGTCGGCACTGTACAAAAACATTAAAATATTAAAAGGTTCGGTCCATTCAGGTGCCGGCACTGTACAATTATAATAAAATACTAAAAGGTTCCGCCAATTCAGGTGTCGGCACTGTACAAAAACATTAAAATATTAAAAGGTTCCGCCCATTCAGATACTGACATTGTACAAAATTAAAAAATACTCGTTTATTTATTGTTAATTACATTAAAGATTAATTTTAATTATAAATATATTAATCACAAAATTAATTGTTAATATACTATTAATAATTATATTAGCATAATTATCTCTTACTAAATAATATTAATTATTTTTATCAACATATATTAATATTAATAATATTAATTAATATTAATTATATTAATATTAATATTTAAATTGTATTAATATTATTATATATTAATTAATTGCATTAATATTAACGTTATTAATATTGGTAATATATATGTATGTATGTATATATATATATATATATATATATATATATATATATATATATATATATATATATATATATATATATATATATATATATATATATATATATATATATATATATATATATATATATATATATATATATATATATATATATATATATATATATATATATATATATATATATATATATATATATATATATATATATATATATATATATATATATATATATTCTGTGAAAAAGAAAACAAAACAAAAATAACTTTAACATTGACACCCTTTCAATGGGCGACAAAGGTCATTTTTAAACAGTTTTGTCCTTTCATTAGACGACAGTGCTTAGGTGTTCAATTTTTTTGTTTGAAACTATGGCAGAATAGTATATATGATTGATCTATATGACATATTGGAAATAACAAGTCAATAGTATGGCATGTTGGAAAAAAATTCATAATTTGTGGAATTTGTCGGTTAGGCAATAAATGCTTGAAATAATTATAATGTTGTTGATCGACCAGGCGAGGGACATTAAGTAGTTGGCTATTTATTATGGTCGACACACCATCACTAGCAATCATTGTCAGATTTGGTTGTTCCCTAGTAATTTCACGCGACAACAAATTAATGCTTCCAGCATCATCATTAATCCTATTATCGGCATTGAAAATAATTAGTGAGTTTGTCTGCCCACCCGCCTGAGACACAGTTCCCATTTCCTGTTCATGCGTGTGAGGTTCAACTACCGTGTATTAAACAGTTCCTTTCTCTACTTCTGTTACATGTCAAACATCCTCTTTTAACCACCTTGAATTTTGACCTCCACCAAAACGACGTTGATACGCCCTTAATTCATTGGACCTCCCTCGGACACCATCATCAACCTCCTTAGCAAAACGAATTTCACATTTCTGCTCCGAATGACCCAACTTACCGCGAATGAAACAGAATAAGCCAAGTTTTTCGTATTTGAATTTGACAATACACCATTCCCCTCCTTTGTTTATTTACGCGAGTTTGCTGTTTTAACGGTTGTCTCACATCCAGCTTCACTCTGATCCTTATGTACTATCTCCAGAAGCTTGTATTATTATTATTTTTGTCATATTCCACCAATTCGCCAATGAAGTTTTCCATCGTTTTTCCAACTTTTTCAAGCATGAGACCCACTGGGAGATTTTGTACACAAAAATCTACATGAAATAGAGGAATGCTTTCGATTTGTATCCCAAACCTTAACCTTCTCAAGGATGAGAAGATGGTTGTCAAACGTCCATGGACCTCCCTTCAACGCCACTTTCATATCAAGATTATGCAAGAAATGAAACAAAAACAAACCTTCATTTGCTTGCTTGTGACCCCTTTGACTGGTCTCCACATATTTGCTACCCTTACTTTCATCGACTTCACGTGGATATGTTTATCGCACCGAAATCATCCAATAAGGCACCATCGTAGATCCATCACCTCTTCACCATCTTCTTCTATGTCGAAGCAGAGACCCTCTTCGTCTCCCCCCTACTCATAAATAAATAAGTTTTCAAAATTCAAATTCGCTATGCTGATATGCGATCAGACAACAGGAACAAAAAAAACCAGGATAAGGACACAAAAAACCTTCTCAGATGAGAAGAAAAACTAAACCCTAGCATAGAAAAAAAAAACTTTGTTCTAGGTAATTTAGAAAAAAAAGAAGTTATGTGTATTGTCTCCAATTTTATTTGATTCTTCATCTTATCAACTTATCCTTGTATGCAAATATCAATATATAATTTTCTTTCCAATTTCTAAACATTATTTCAAAACATCAATAAAGTGAGATCTATAGCTAGCTTCTTTCTAACTTGTATTCGTATTATTTTTCTTTAAAAAAATTTAGAAAGGCTTTTTTTCATACAAAGTTTTACATAAAAAATAATTTAAATATTTTTTATAAAATATTATTTTGGAGTTTTATCATATTATTATAAAATTTATTTAATATCAAAATTTTAAATATCATTTGCTCACTGACGTAATTTATAAGCCAATTATCATTTATATATTTCATTCACCGGTGTTCTTGAAAAAGTCTTCAAACCTCTGCAAATGGAACTATAATCGCCACTAAATACAAAAGAAGAAGAAAAAAACACTAAAATCAACACATTCATTTCTAATTAACGAATAAAGATCAAGAACAGAGGCTAAAAAAACTGATATTAGATATCTACAAAATTACATTTACAACAATTAGTCAGCCTCCATATCAAATATATTTAATCTTGTTTTTTCAATTCCCATTTATGCTTCAACATTTTTTTTTAATCTCTTTCTCCTAAAAAACAATTAAAAATATAAAATAAAAGGTTTCACAGATCAACCTAATGTCAGAGTTCGAAACCGCAACTGGCTTCATCATAAAGGTTAGTTTACCTTATATCTATTGCACCTTAACACCAAGAAAATCCGCAGCAGATTTAGCCATTATAGTAGCAAATTCATTGAAACTAATAACACCATCCCCATTGCTATCAGCTTCAGCCATCATGTTTGCAAGTTCATGGTATGTTAAAGGATGTCCCATCTTTGCCATGGATCCGGCGAGTTCCGCCGCCGTGATGAAGCCGTTGCCGTCGCGGTCGAATGAGCGAAAAACCTCTAGAAGCTGTTCTTGATTGATTAAGACATCCTCGTTCATGTCGGGCATGATGGCGTTAACAAGCTCGTCGAATTCGATGTAACCGTTGTTGTTGTTGTCCATGTTGTTGAGTAAGGCGTGGAGTTCGTCTCCGGTTGGTCTGATGCCGAGCGAGCGGAGGAGCGCGGCGAGCTCGAGATGCGTTAGGCTGCCGTCGGAGTCCATGTCGAAGCGCTTGAATATGTCGTTTAGTTGTTTGATTTGATCGTCGGTTTGGAGCATTGACATGGTGATGGTGTGAGGTTGGGGAAGGCCTGAGCCTTGAGAAAAGAAAATTATGATAGATAAATAGATAGAATTGTTTTTGCTTTTGAGGATTTTGATAATGATGATGATAGGTTTGATAGAAGATTTGGAACGGGTCAAAGGGTTGAGAGAAAACGCGTTTTTGTTTGTTTAAAGTAAAACTGAATTTGAGAAAATGGAATGGGTATGTGTTCTAGTTTACTTGTTGGGAACATCCTTTACAGCGTTTGCGTGCGAAGGACGTTGAAAAATTGTTATGGTGAAAATTGGGATTAAGATTGAGTTATGTGTATTAGCTAAAATTAACGTGTGTGTGTCCGTGAGTTTAGTTTAGGGGTCATAAGAATTATTGGTGAATAGAATAGGTGTTGACCAACGGAGTTTAAGGAGAAATTAATTAGTAATATATTTGTTGTGTAATGTGTATGATTTTTTTTTTATTATATAAAGTTGTCTATCTAATGCTGACTAAGATGGACTATATCATTCTAGAAGCCATGGACAGTGGCAGTTGGGTTCTAATGCAATATGCACAATGATTTTGGAGTTTATATATCACTCAAGTTTTAATGCTCAAGCAACTTGGCTAGATTTCATCTAAGCATAACAACTTCTTAATTAATTCATGTTGCATAACAACTTAACAAATATGTGTTGCAAGCAACACAAGTAATCCTAGTAAAGATGAATCACAATCTTATCACACTTATTTATATATTTTTTTATTTTTCTATTTTCATAAAAATTTTCAAGCAATTAAACCTCACTTTTCTTTTAACTCCATGATATTGTTATCAACAAGTAGCTTGATCTTTAAGATTTTTGCGACTTTTTATTCTTCTAATAACATTTTCATCTATAATGGCAAGTTGCATATGAACTAGCTACATACTGAGCTTTTCGAGATGATAGAGCTATTATTTATGTTTCTTTGTACACAATGAAATTGGTGTTGCTCCAATCATGAATAGATACACTGCAACGAGTTTTCTATAGTTTTGATCTCCTCCTCTAATCTAAGTCAGAATAATCATATGCTTTTATTTCTTGCTAGTGTTCTTCTTGTTTTGCATAAACACACCATGATCAATTGTGTTTTTTCTACTATCTTGATTTCCTCCCCAATTTAACTCATAATAACCATATACTTTTATTTCTTGTTAGGATTCTTCTGGTTTTGCACAAGCATATTATGGTTAACTGTGTTTCCCTATCATCTTTATCTCCTCAATCTAAGTCATAATAACCATATGTTTTTGTTTACTATTGTTCTTTTAGTTTTGCAGAAGCACACCATGATCAATTGTGCTTTTGATGTATCTTAATATCCTTTTAGAAACTAGTAGGTGACATGTTTTAGGATTCTCCATGAACCTATTTACGAGGACAACACTCTGAAATATGTATAGCCTTATCTTGTATAAATATATGAGTAAGTCAATGGTTTTCTTGTATAGACTTGTATCTACAAGCTCGTCATTTGTATCTTTGTTCAGCTTTATACGTGTCTCTATACGAGTGATTGCATGACTAAAACTACTCTCTTTAAATCTCTTTAGGATGTTGTTTACTTGTGTTTTTGGTAAACAATCACTTAGTTTTGAATAATTTCTTGCAGGATCAAACTAAGAAATTCTAAGACATTTTTGCGCATATATTCCAAAAAGACAATCGTTTGACTGATGTTATAGGTAAAAGCTAAGTGTTTAATAAAGTAATGCAACTTAAAAGGATAAATAAAGAGATTGTTGGTTTCAATTGTGTCAAAATCCCAAATAAACTAGAAAAGTAGTAAATTTAAGACAAAGTAAAGGAAAAGTAAAAGTTACTTCAATTAAATAAAGAAATATTAGTGTACATAATCATACATTTTCCTCACGAACTCTTTTCTCGCTCTAGCTTGGGTACTTTGAGTTTTATAGAGATTTTGTAATGATATTGCCCCCTGATTTCTAATGATGGAACCAATATATATACTAATGTAAAAATAATTGTCAACAACAGTTATTTCCATATTGTGTGACATATAATCTCCTATGAAGTTTCTAATATTCTACGTAATCTCCTATGAAGTTTCCAATATTCTACCATGTTCCCAGGTGTCTTCGTCATTTGGATAAAATAAAAAATTAGTTATTCAATCTAATACTTTTACTTTGCCTCAATCGTCACAACTGATGACTCAACTTGTCGAGTTCCGAGGAGGGGTCATCTCAATATTCTAGGAAAATACTAAGTCAAAATATCATCTCCAAATATGTTGAACTTGATGTTTATGGTCGAATGTTGATCTTGTCGCACATGTCACCATGTATCCTATTTTTAACTAAGTATCGTCTTAGCTTAATGTCCTCATTTTCAAACTCTACACGCCGAGAATTCCAAGATTATAAATTGCCCCTAAAAACTGTCACTTTCTAACATTTGAGAAACATGTGGCATTTTTGAAACTGCAAACAATATTCAGAGTATTGGGTTGATGTCATCGTCATCATAACCCCTTTATCAAAATGTGTTTTCAAAAGTGAATCAAAAGATTCTCATTATGGCTCTGATTTCCTAGGGAGAACATGGGCCACACTATAAAACACTCTCTTCCAATCCATCTTTGAACTAATAAACATGTGTCAACTAAAGGTTGCGACGGTTTTCTTCTCAAGAGGAGAAAGAAACAAAGAGTTTCTACTATCAGAGTATAAATATAACTTCTTTTACCATTTTCTTTCTTTTTTCCACTTCATTTCAACTTGCCAGTATTAGAAAAATTGTGCATTTCTTCTCCAAAAACTTCATCTTCTTCATCATTCCTACATCATCTATAAAAAAATGGTATCTTCATCAAACTCAGAACCATCACTCACTCTTGTTGTAGTTGTCAAAGTTCTCATCCTAGTTGGAAACCAAGTCTATGTTCTTGAGCCACCACCCATGGAGAAGGAAAAAGCTCTAATTTGGAAATCTCATGTACTAATTCCTTTTTTGTTTTTGTTAAAGTGCATGCATTTCTGGATCCACTTCCCGAACCTACTAAAAACGTTGATAAAGTGAGGAAAATCTTCCCCTATTACTACCGAACCAAGCTTCATGTTTGCTTGAATCAAACTTATGATTTGAGCTTCATGAGTGTCTCCTCTTGAGTTTTTTGTTCTGCACCATACACCAACCAAAAAGAATACATCTGGGGATCAACAAGGTGGAATCAAAGAAAGCAAACATTTGGAAGGTGAAAGGTTTCTTTGAATTGATTCAACTATCTAGGGTTGGCCCTACATATAGTCCAGAAATGCTTCTTACAGCGTTTCAATTATGGAAAAGCTTGACAAACACATTCCATCTCCGATGTGGGATGATAATGCCAATTCTGATTGACGTGGTTGTTATTACCGGTCTTCGACCAACTGGTGATGTCTTTGACCCTACCCAATATGATAAGTGTACCATTAGCTTCAACTATATACGTGCTAGCTATAACATCTTTATTGCTGACCATTTTGAAGCCCGAACCGAGGATGTGTTAGATGAATAACAAATTTTCTTTTTGACACTTTGGTTGTATCATTATATTTTCTGCTCTAATCCCTCAAGATTAGGGATGTAAATGAATATCCATGGGGACGGATACTATGATATTAGTATCCATCCCATTAGATAAATATGATATTCATATCCGCCCCATATCTATGCGGATATCTGTTAAGCGGGTAATCTGCGGGTTTTACGATATCTACGGATATTTACAGATATCCATGGATAATATTCTTTTTATGAATTTTTTTTTTGAAAAATATATTTTTAACTTCTTTTAAAGACACAAAAAGTTATTATCACATAACATCGATACAATGCGCTCTTAATTTAACAATAAAATTTCATCACATTAATTTTCTTCTTATTCACCAAAACATAATTAGATCCAAACATTTCATTTTTAACCACAAATAAAAGATATTTTGATTGTGAGTTATGATGGAAGAGCGGACGACAGAGGAGTAAGAAGGGAGACGTTGGTTTGAATGAGGAACGACGACACTAGTTGGTTGGACTATGAAATTGTTGAAGTGAGATATGAAGTAATGAAGAGTTTATATATGAAATAGCTAATCAAATTTGAATGAAATGTGAAATGTTTTCTCTAAAGAAAATTTCAAAAAAAAAAGAAAGAAATATAAGAACACTATTTTTTAGAAGATGAAAAGATCAGGTATAATACGTTAATAATATTTAAATAATTTTTATAATTTATTAATGGATATGATATCTGCAGGCACGAATATCATTAAACCCGTATCCATATCCATTAACAAACGAGTATTTAAATATCCATTTATTTTATCTGTGGATATCCATTAAACTATCAGTCTCATATCTGTGATAGATTTTATCCGCGGATATCCGCGGGTACAGATTTTTTTCCATCCCTACTCAAAATAGCCAAGAGTTTTGTTACTTTGGATAATCAATTGCATGAAGGAATGGATATTTGTTTAGTCCAATTGATTCTAGGCTCCCTTTATGAATCACTAGGGCTTGCATCTCATGCCCTGAAACATTTTAAACCCAAAGCCAACCCCTCGATTTCTGGTCGTTTCTGGGTTTTAGAACTTTGGCTTAATGCTACGTTTGATTCTTCTCTAAAGGCAGACATACCAGCTAGTCATGCCGAAGAAATTCAAAATTGACGGATCGAAGGTACCAGACTTATGATTATTACCTTGACTAACACAGGTCGTTCAAACAATGAAGTCTTCAATGAATAATTTAGGATGTTTTCCAAGCTTCATGTGCTTACGTATTCATGGGCCCTTTTACTAACCGAAGGCATGGGCCAGATTGGTTTAGGAGAGAATTTCCTACTCTTTATGTTAAACACCAAGTCAAGGCTTTTGATATTTGGAAAGCCTTCCTTACCCCCAGACTGCTATCAATTAGGCTTGGGACTACCAAAGACAACTTAGGGCTTGTAGGTTATCAATCTAACCTAGTATCTCAACAATTTGGGTTTAGCTAGATTTTACCCATATCTCTTTTTAGTCAGAAAAAGAACTCTGTCTTAGAACTGTTGAGATAAATGAAGAAGAATACCTAATGAAACTCGCTTGAAAATCTGATGAGCTCATTAATCTCACACCTTTTAAATTTAAAACATATTTTTATTGTACTCAAGAGTTTGACACATAGTGGAAGGATGGCCAGACTAACAATTTTGTAGATGTGCTGACTTTGATGCATTACCTAACAAAAGCATTTTCCTCTCTGCATACCAAATTAAAAAAAGGTAGATGTATGCTTATTAAATAATTCGAAGCTTTTCAGCATTACTTTGAAATTGTGTCTAACCCAAACAATCTTAGTCGAACTATCTTTGGGGCGACCCTAACTTTAAAAGAAAAACTTGTCGAAAAGATACTGTTGGAACAAGTTTGGTTCTAAAACTATCCTTAAGTTCCGATGATAACAAAGTGTAAGAGAATAATTTTGTACCTTAACCAGTTTGTTAAGTGTGCTAAAACATTGGAATAAATTCGGACTCTAAAGATATCTAGACTCTGAACCAAAGAAAATAAGCGTTAAAACAACTCAAATATGATTTACCAAAGTCAATTTCTGAATGAAAGTTCTCAAGATTGACTCTGATATAAATACCTCTGACTATCTCCTTGTGAAGTCTCAGAACCCAACATACAAAGACTATGAAGTCTCACAAAAGATATCATAGACAAATCTTGGAAATGCTACTCAAGCTTCAACAACAAATATCAGAATCCTCTGAATGGAATTTTTCCAAAAGTTAACAAAAGATTTGATGTGATAGATGTACAGAAGAAAATCTACTTTTTCCATAAAGTAATGTAATATATGTAAAAGAATTCTACATCGCCACTCTAGCGTTTCATTTGAAGTGATCTTCTCCAATGGATACTTAGAGGATATTTTCATCTTTACCTCCAACGAATCTATTTTACATATATTTAAAGAGTACATTGAAGATTGAAGCGGGTGACAGAAAATAGAGACTTGATATGTGCACTAAACATCATTAACGTTCACACTCATAAACGAATAAGAAGTGTTTCTTACACTTATACACTTAGAAAAAAATCATGGTATATTCATATTAAGTGTAGAACTTCGGCAACAGGCGTTTCTGCACTTCACAATTATGTAGAATATGAACTTTCAAAAATATAACCAGTTACAACTTTTACATAACCGATTACAGGGTGTTGTAATTTCTTTATCTCATAAAAAACAATGTCTTGGCTGATCATAACTCTCATTCTTGCTGCATCAAACAACTTGTAACCACAATTGGAGTGATACTCTACAAGTATCATCATTTCTCCCTTATCATCTAGCTTTTTTCTAAGCTTCCACGGAACATGTTGATACGCTACAAAACCAAAAAAAATCTCAAATGGTTCATATTCAGTTTGAATCCTGACCATGCTTCCTCCGGTGCTACCTTCCCAAGATTCTTTGTTTAACACCTATTTAGCAAATAGGCAACCGTGGATATTGCTTCTCAGTATAACTCTTTCAAAAATTTCTTCCCTTTTTACATGCTTCTTACCATGTTCTTAATCGATCGATTCTTTCTTTCAAAAAGACCATTTTTCTATGGTGTATAAGGTGGTACAACCTCATGTACTGTCCATTCATTATCACAAAATCTCTCAAGTCTTTTGAGACATATTCGCCTTCACCATCTGTTTTGAGCACTCTGAGCTTGTCACTGCTTTGCCTCTCAACCATAGACTTGAACTTATTCAACACTTCGAATACCTCATCCTTTGTCTTTATTAGGTATGTCCATAGCTTTCTATTATGATTGTCGATGAATGTGACAAAATATTTATTGACATCAATGGAATCTACTTGCATTAGTCCACACACATCTGAATACACAACCTTAAGGTAATTCTTGGTTCTACAACCTACATCCTTGCTGAATTTACCCTTATGTTGCTTTTCTTGCACAAGTTCTTCACAAATTTCAATTGGTATGTTGATCAATGGCAATCCCATTACCATTTCGTTCTTTTGCAATTCTTTGAGATCTCAGAAATCGAGATGCCCAAGACGATAATGACATATCCATTCTTCTCGAATTGCCACTGTAGCTAGACATTTATGCTCCATAACCTTCAGTTCAACCTTGAAGGTTCTGTTGGCAGCCATATGAGCTTTAAGGACCAAAACCCTAACGTGAAGCCCCTTTGTTTTCCATGTAAATCTTGTAACCCTTCTCAAGAAATTGGTCAGTACTTAGAAGGTTACATTCGATTCCTAGAATGTAAAATACATCATTGGTCAAGGAATGTCCATTATCCCTTCTTATGGTCAAAATATCATCGATCCCATCGGCCGCTAGAGTGGTGTCATCCGCGAACTTCACTTTGTTCTTCATGGAACGATTGATTTTAACAAACCAATCCTTACTCCCCGTCATATGAGTAGAACAACCGGAACCACTCCTCACTGCACTAAACTTAACCTTTCATACTTATCATGACATTTTCTTCTACCTGTAACTAGTTACAACTTTTACGTAACTGGCTACAATATGTTTCTGCATCATTTTCAAAATTATTGTTGTTGTTGTCCTGCAACCTGTTGTTGCTGCATTCACCTTTTGTGATCATGACCAAACGTGTATTTTCCTCATGAAACTCTTTTCTTGGAACCTTGGATCCATCTCCTTGATATTTCTTCTTGTTCGCATTGCATTCTTTTGAAAAATGACCAAAATATTGACAATTAAAGCATTGCACCTTGCTTTTGTCAATCCTCTTCCTTTCACCTATAAAGTTGTCTTGACCACCATTTTTGTTGCAGCTTCTGTCACCTCTTTGACAAGTCGAATTCTTGGAACTTTAGGACTCTCATCCATTAAAGTTATGAAATTTTCTTAACTCTTCATAGGTCATTTTCCTTTCGATCTCTTGTCCTTCTCACTAAAACGAGCCTGAAAAGTAATCTCCTCCTTTGCCTTACCATTATTTCTTTCTTTCATACTCTGCTTATGCGTCTCAAGAGAGCTTAGCAGCTCCTATTTGATCATCGTCGCAAGATCTTTCGAGTTCTTAGTCGTTACCACCACGTTATCAAATCGTGACATCAAAGAACACAAGATTTTTGCGACAACACGTTGCTCTATAATTGTTTCTCCACAAGCCTTCACTTGATTCATCAACCTAGTGATTCTCGTTGTGAAATCTTTGATGGTCTCCTTTTCCTCCATTTGAATCAATTCAAGTTGACATTTGTGAGTTTGTAACCTCACCATATTGGCCTTGTCATCTCCTCCGTATGCATTCTCTAAGATTTCTCACGCTTGCTTTGATGATTCGCAATCACTAACTTTCTCAAAGTTGTCACCATCCACATATTGATGGATAAAAAACAACGCCTTGAAATATTTCTTCTTATCTTCCTTATGTGTTCTCGTTATGCATATGTTACACCTTCGACAAAAGGATTCACCTCGTTCTTGAATACTTCAAGAACATCTTGGGACCTAAACAATACTTTCATTTGTTTGCACCATTTGTCGTAATTATTCGCATCAAGAATGTGTAGGTTTGCAGGGACTCTTTTATTGGAGACAAAATTCATGTTGTACACTAGGTGTTTGTGGATCAAAATCACTCTCTTGATATCAAATGTTAGAACTTTTAACCATAAAATTGGTGAATAATGGAGAAATTAGAGTGTGGAGAGGGAGAGAGAAATTGAGAAAGAGAAATTAATTGATGGTGAGAATATTTTTGTTATATTATCTGAAGATGTCTCCAAAGCATTTATACAAACATTATAAGTTAATTGTGACACAAGGTAAATAATAGAAAAAACAAAATTCTCGGATCAGTAACCGATTACACAAAACTTATAACCGATTACTCAAAACCTATAATCGATTACAGCTGAAACAAAATAAAAGTTAGCTAATAGCGATAGTCGATAATTGTGAATGCTTAACCGATTACAACACATAAATTACTAATAAACGCTTTTTAAAAAAACTTTATACGTACTGAAATAACTATCGGTACTAACTTACTAAGGAGTATCATAGTCAGAAAATATTGTTAAATGCTGACGAGTATCAACAAAATTTAAGTTTTATCCTTAGCAAACTATGTCAAAAAATTTGGATTATATGGGGCAATTTTAAGCATATAGCTCAAGGAAATCAATTTCTTTTGTATATCAAAGATATTTTCAATATAGAAGATCCGAAATTAATCTTTAGAGACATAATGATCTATTTAAGAGACTAACATCTTTCAACAAATATTCTTTTATACATTGGTTAAGAATTGAGTTCATTACCACACATATTTAAGAGATCTAATTCTCCTCAAATTTTATCACATTATATTTGTCTCAAATCAACTATTTGATATCTTAGAGAACTAACATCAATTTGATCATTGACAACTTTAGGATCACCCCATGGTTCTTTCCTACCCCAAAAGCTTCCAAATCCAAACTCTCCCTTCTCACAAAGTTCCTCCATCACTTTCTCAACTTCAACTATACAACAACCACAATTGTGCACATCATCATCTTGACTTCTAAATGATTTTTCATGAATTCTCAAAATCACATCTTTGTAAGATCCCATTTCTCTTTGCACCCCCTTCCTTTGGCAAAATATCCTCTTACCATATTCTCTTGTTTTCCTCACCATCTTTCGCAACAAAAGCATGATAATTTGCAGCATCAAGCACTGGCAGCAACATGAAATGACAACACAATCGGCCGCAAGCATGTTCAAATCTTCCATGGTTGTGAAAGAGAAGGAGATGAAGGTGGGGGTGTTGGAAGTAATTATTAAAAGAAGGCATGCCTTGTTTAAAGAGTAGGTTCCTTTAATTTCTTTTCCCTATTCCTTGGTCTTGGTAAGGAAGAAGCAATAACAATAATATGATGAGGAAAAGCTAAGATATCTTTGCCTTCATTAAATTATTTGGTTGTGGCCTAAACGCAAACGATAGCTTCTAATAAGGGTTATGACATATACAAGAATATTTAAAGTGAAGAATACAATCATTGTAGGGTATGTGTCAATAATGATTGGTTATATGATTGTAACTTGTGAAGTAGGACTCTAATTTTTGGGTAGAAGATTTCTTATTCTTTCGAAGGGGCTTCATTAGACTTTTCAACCCTTGTGGTGGTGATTCCATCAAACTACTAAATCACCTTACTACTCATTTTTAAATAACAAAAAAATCGTGACATTGTTTCACAAGAAAACTTGATAGAGCATTTCTTTAAAAGATATATGGAATTTATATAGGAAAAATATTTGGTACTCATATATATATATATATATATATATATATATATATATATATATATATATATATATATATATATATATATATATATATATATATATATATATATATATATATATATATATATATATATATATATATATATATATATATATATATATATATATATATATATATATATATATATATATATATATATATATATATATCAAGAGAAAAAGAGATGAATAAAGTTATCGATAAAATTTTAAAGATTTGTTTAATAGTAAGATTTGAGTCTTAGGTGAGATTAATCCTTTTTAATTAATCAGTTGTAAGATTGGATACCAAAATTAAAAAAAAAAAAAAAAAAAAAAGTGATGATGTGATAAATACAATAAATTTTTATTGTTGAATATGAATAGAAATAAATATAAAAAGAGATGTTGAATGACTATGAAAATTAGAGTGTACAATTTTTTTTACCCATTTCTTAAATTAACAAATTAGTAATGAAGTTCGGTGATTGTGCGAAAATCAGAAAAGTATGTGTAAGATCCTTAAAAGTTCTAAATCATATCTTTAATTTTTATTTTTATTTTATAAAAGATGGAGGATAAGATAGAAAAAAAATAAACGTTGACATCTCAAAATAGATTGGCACTTCAAACTTGTCACCTAACCATTCAATTCTAACATTTCTTAATAGATAAAATTTAAAGATTCAACTTGGAGGACTAAACCAAAAGTCAAGAATAAATAACAATTGGCTCATAAAAAACTTTACACGGACAATTCATTGTCATTTGAGATATATAAAACTAAATTTAAAAAATGAAGCGTGTAAACAACCATTAAAATATATATATATATATATATATATATATATATATATATATATATATATATATATATATATATATATATATATATATATATATATATATATATATATATATATATATATATATATATATATATATATATATATATATATATATATATATATATATATATATATATATATATATATATATATATATATATATATATATATATATATATATATATATATAAAGGAATAATATCCCACAACTACGTAGCTATAGTATTTCACTAGTGGCATGCGCCATTACACAATATTCAGCCTCACTTGAGAATTGAGAAATTGTACCTTGTTTCTTTGTTTTCCATTATATTGGAGCATTGCCAAGTTTCATTAGATAACTTGAGATGGACTTTCTGATAATGGGGACACGATGCCCAATCTGAGTCATAGTAACCAACTAGTTGTAGATCATTGTGTTGTGGAAGAATGATACCTTGACTAGAAGAAAATTTAAGATGTCGTAAGAATCGCACAATGTAAGACCCTTATACCCCAACAGACATTCACGATAATTAAAACAATTATATCATAGTACATCACCACAAGGGTGTCACATTTTGCCATAAAATCACAATAACGTCCTGCTTCGTCACACGGGTTCTATCATCAATAAAATTCAAAACAATTAGAGCTACATTGCAGAGGAAAAAATCATAATTTCAAAAACCGTCAAAATAGCCAAATTCATAATGATGTCAAGTCTATAAAACCAACATAAAAAATTCAACTCAATATCGCCCCGACTCGATGTTACATATCAAAGCAAGACACCTTCTATGTTCGGCAGAATTAAAACTAAATACTCAAGAAGCTAAACCTTCATGCACTAATAGTTAATCCTGATCACCTGCACGCTACCCACTTGGAGGAAACATTCAAACAGGCAGGGTGAGTAATCATAAGTTATTATACAAGATATAAAGAAAAGATAAACATGTATATAAATACATCAGCATTCAATAATTCCCATACATCGTCATAGAATCATCCAGCAACATAAACATCATTAAGTCATCATCATAATGCGTCATTTAAAATCACATCATCAAATACATCATTCCTTCACAATTATGCAATGTCACATAACATGAAAAGCAACAACACTAGACTCATGCATGTGGTACCAATTCGCCATGTTGATGGACACTGGGCCATCACCCTTCAAAGATCCCCACCAAAAGGATCGATTCTACACAAGAACCGGAACACGTCTTAAACACCTCAATCCAAATAATGGGATTGAAGTCACCACTGGACCGAAATCCTAACATGCTACGAATGCATGATGAAAAACGTCATAAATCACATCATCATCGAAGGTGCATCATCATTCATGAGAATTTCGTCAGCAACATCCTAGTATTACATCATTATTAAGCGCCATATCACATCATCATTATGCGTCATATTACATCATCATCATTAATTCACACATCATCATGTTATAATCCTCAAGACACAACACATCAATTACTCAAGGTATACGGACAACAAGACACAAGACAACGGGAAAAGAAAAGAAAAGAAAGAAAAATCATGGCTCATGCTCGCCTGGAGAAGCAGCTCGCTCGTCTGAGTTTCGCCCGACGAAGCAGGGGTGAATTTCCTTCCATCTGGATCGTATGTGACAGATTTGGAACGTATTTCCTCAATTGAGACACATGAAACACATCATGAAAATTCTCAAGCGACGACGGTAAAGCACTCCAATAGGCTACCTCCCCTATCTTCTGCATAATCTGATACAGACCAACAAAACGTGGAGTGAGCTTCATAGACTTTAAAGCTCAACCCACGCTAGTCACCGGTGTAACTCTCAAAAACACGTGATCTCCCTTTCAGGATTCAATTGCTTTCATTCTCTTATCATGATAACTCTTCTAACGACTATACAAAGCTCTCATCCTTTCTTGGATCATCTTAATCTTCTCAGTCATCTCCTGCACAATCTCAGGTCCGAGTGCAACACTCTTGCCTGACTCATACCAACACAATGGGGTTCTACACCTTTTTCCATACAAAGCTTCATACGGCACCATCCCAATACTAGCATGAAAGCTATTGTTGTATGTGAACTCAATCAACGGAAAATGGATATCCCAAGATCCACCTTGATCCAACACATAAGCCCTCGGTAAATCCTCCAAAGACTGGACAGTCCTCTCTGTCTGACCATTTGTCTGCGGATGATATGCAAAACTCATCCTCAACTTAGTACCCATAGCATCTTGTAAACTTTTCCAGAACCTCAACGTAAATCTCGGGTCTCTATCCGACACAATACTCGAAGGTATCCCATGCAACTTTGCAATCTCCTTAATATACATCTCAGCTAACTTCTGCATAGAATGATTAATCTTCATCGGTAAGAAATGAGCCGATTTAGCTAATTTATCTACAATCACCCAAATCGAATCATTACCCTTCACAGTCTTCGGCAATTCCGACACAAAATCCATGGATATATTATCTCGTTTCAATTCTGGAATATTCAACGGTTGCATCATACCCAAAGGCTTCTGATGCTCAATCTTCGACTTCTAACAAGTGAAACACGCATATACAAACTCAGCAATATCCTTCATACCTGGTGTTGCACCCCAAAATTTGCCCTCACAATACAAGACTTTGTGTTCTAAGAAGGTTCACAAGGTTCACAAGTTCTCCAACAACTTGCATAACCTTTCATGAAGTTCATAAAGTCCACAAGCTACTTTATGAAGGTTCACAAGGTTCACAAGTCCCACAGTGCTTTCAATACCTTTCATGAGGTTCATGAAGCCCATAGGTTGCTTCTTGAAGGTTCACAAGGTTCACAAACTTCTCAACATCTACAAGGCCTTTCATGAGGTTCATGAAGTCCATAGGTTGCTTCTTGAAGGTTCATAAGGTTCACAAAGTTCACAATTGGTCAGAAGAGTTGACAATTCCCTCAGACAATGCGCCTCCTAAGCAGTGCATCCAAAACTAGGGTTTTGACTTTAATCAGGCTAAATGGACTTCCAAGACTTCAAGTGAGCTTCATAACATCTTATATGTGTATAAGAACCCCCATGTCAAGTTTCAAGACTTTTCTCAAAAGTTTGCTCAGTCAGATGATCAGATAAGTCAAAAGCAGTCAATGCAGTTAAAAGGTCAAACTGAGGTCAACTGTGGTCAAACCAAAGTCAAACTTCATGATTTTTTTTTGCCAACATCAAAGAGAGGTTGGGTGAGAAATATTATCATAATAACTGTAATACCCCAAATTTTGCCCTAAGATTTGTCGTCGCATTTAATTGCATTTAATCAATTACTAACAAATTTGTGTAGTCGTTTGACTTTTTGCAGGTAAATATCATATGGCATGCATTTTTTTTTCTAAAAAAGTAAAAATGGCACAATTGGCAGGAGGACATGTGTAAGGAGTTATGAGTGTGAGAGGTTGAGAGTTCGAATCTCACCTTTGTCATTTTTTTTGTTTTTTATTATTTTTACTCTAAATTTTTCTATCTTTCATTAAAAAAATAACAAAAATAGTTTTTTATTATTATTTAATTATTATTTTCGTATTTTAATTAAATCATTTTTTAAAATATTATTTTTTTCACTTTTTTCTAAATTATTCATAAAAAT